ACGAGCACACTGCGATCCGCACCTGCGCAGCCTCGTCAAGGTAACGCAGTGGGGCCGGTCCAGCACGAGCACACTGCGATCCGCACCTGCGCAGCTGCTAGTAACATTGCAGTTCCCCTTTAAAGTATGTGTTACAACAGATGGAAAGATTGGAAATGTGTGTTTTATTTCTGGGGAATTGCAAGAAACAGAATTGCCTTTCTGTTTTGTGAGTTGTAAGACAGATGTTTAACAACTCGTATAATTAAGAATCAAACATTTATTTATGCATTTATATATTATATACAATTCGAGAAAAAATATTAACTTGAGGTAACGTAGAATATAAGACGAGTTAGTAAAGTTCAGAAATAGACATGATGATGGCCAGCTCTCAGTCCAGTGGGTCTTATAGCCCACATTTAAATCGTCAACTTCTGTACACTTGAAACATGGATGAATCTGAAACAGGTGATGTATTCATTTCTGTAAAGGTCATTTGACATGAAAATACACTCTATGATTCTCAAGAACTACAGGTGTTTTTATGAGCCCACATGTTGCAGGTCTTTAAAAACTGATATGTGCTGTATAAGACCTGGACTGGGGTTGGGCAGCCCTGTGCTTGTGTAACCAGCTCACCAGTGTATTTTTAGTTTTAACACAGGACCTCCCTACCTTTTCAAAAGAGAATATTCTTTGTGTGGGGATAAGGAATGGTTATTTTTATTTTTGAGTTTATAGCATTTGTGAAAACACAAACTTGTTAGAGATCGTGAACATTATAATCAGCAATGCAATGCTATGGTTTTATTGTTCACAAGGCAAAGAAGATCTTCACAATCAATGAAATGGGATTTTCGACCACAGCGGTAATCTTTGCGGTTTCCCTCTATATACCTGACTTCATATCTCTCTGACTGCCCTGGGAGGGCTGGCCGATGCTGACTGGTTTCTCTGTGTTTCCCAGGAGCTGTCCCAGAGCAGCCGGCAGAGGTGGGGGAGCTGTTCGGCCCCGGCGATTGTGGGGGCTGGGGGCTGGGTGCTGGAGACTGTGCAGGACCCCAAGGGTGAGCCCGAAACTCCTATTGCAAATGGAACAAGAAAGAAGAGATTGAATAAAGTGATGTAAAACCTGTTATTAAAACACTGATGCAGTAAAGCCTGCTAGTATCGGTTTCTCAGAGCAGATCAATTTTAGTATCAAGAGAAAAATATCCAAATTTATACTTACCTGTCTCACTCTGCTGCACTTTTTGTCACCACAGTGTTGTTGATTTTTCACAGTTCTGAGTGACTGGTGGACAGCTGGTCACTATGGAGATCAGATCTCCACAGATTAAGTGTTGTTTTTTTAAAAGCTTTTCCATGAAATTGGAAATCTGAATGTGTCAAGAATAATTTCATTTGTTTCAGATGATAGAAGTAATCTTTGATGTTTTAAAGTGAATTTTTCTCTGTTCTGTGGAGAGGGTAGTGCTGTTTGTATCTTGAGGTCTTCATGAGGCCTCTCCTGGTCGAATGTATTTTGAAGTGAAAAACATGATGAAACCCAGATGACTCCCTGTGTCGATGCTGATTTTCAGACCATCGCGCGCTTCCTGTGCAAGAGGGGCAGCCGCAGCGTGTGCTGACTGACAGCGCTGTGCACCGGGAGATCCTGGACCAGCTGGGCCAGCTGGACCGGCTGCTGGAGGGGGAGCACGAGCTGCGCGCGGGCACGGGCGATGGGGCCCTGGAGGGCCACGAGGGGGGCGGTCCGGGACTGGGACAGGCTTTGTCTGATCCACCGCATGCCTTCCGTGCAAGTGAGGTCTCCATTCGTGAGATCCTGCCCTTAGATGCCCACAGGCTTTCCTTGCACCACAGCCTGGACTCTGACAGCAGCAGGGAAACGGGCTCCGATGGCACCCCCACCCAGGACGAGCTGGAAGAGGAGGGTGAGGACCCAGCGCAGAAGCCCTGCGAGATCTCTCAGGCGATCAGCGCCAGCGTGCTCAACCTGAAGGTGTCGCAGGTGCTGCTGCAGCAGTCGGAGAGCAGCCTGCTCAACGTGCAGAGGGCCAGGGCCGCACTGGGCCGGCGGGAGGTGCCCTCTGCTGTCCCCTGGGGGCAGGGAGAGAGGCAGCTGGCGGTCGGCCGTGAGCATGTGTGTGGTGGGGGTGGACTCGCCGATGAGGTCGATGGCCGACAAAGTGAGAAGACGGAGGACTCCTTGGACTCCGGCTCTGAGTGGGGGTTTTCCAGAGCCGTGGGTCCTCCATCTCACTACCGTTTCGCCCATCCTGGCTACGGCGTCCCGGCCAGGGGCTGGCCCTCAGGGCTGCGCAGGGCTGCGCAGTCCGCTGCTGCAGACGAGCCCCCGGACTGGCCGGCAGAACACGAGGACCTGAGTGAGGGGGAGGGCATCAGCGACTACAGCTCCGCCCTGGATGATAGCTTCGTAACTGTGCGTCCTGGACGTGCTCAGGTAACTCGCTGCACATCGGTGCTACCAGACGGAAGTGTAGTGTTCTCCACGTTCAGTGCCTGAGATAGCATGGTATGGGAAGGAAGAGTGTGAGAGTCATGAATACAGAACAGAGGTTAGTTATCAGAGTTGGGACGGCTTGTCCCAGACTTCCACAACCCCTCATATAAAGATATGCCTCCTTAACACATGTCCTGCAACTAACAGGTATTTCTGACTTCTGTTTCTGATTTCTAATGGTGTGTTGGGTTAGAAACTTTGATTCTATTTGTCTTTTCTTGCTTGTTTAGATGCTAATAGCTTATTGATCCAAAACTCACACCCAGCCATTGTTTTAAGGTGAGAAGGAGTCTATACTTAGTAGTATAGAGGGCAGTTTGTACAAGATGTCCCCTCTACCTTTGTTTCCCTAAATACATCTGCTCTCAAAGAAAGATAAAGTGGTCTTTCAGCAGTTTGAAGAAGAAGGAGATCAGCTGCAGCGCAGTGTGTAAAGAAGAGGGGACACTGCTAATTGGCAAGAGCTCTTGCTTGTCCCCCTCAGGCAGGCAGAGGGAGCATAGCTGCTGCAGTGGCAGAGACAGGAGGCCAGCACTCGTGCAGAGAGCAGTGTACCGTCCACAGGCAGGGCCCCCAGGACAGGTAAACTGACTCAGCGCCCTCTCATGGCCCTGCAGCTGATCCTTACAGCACTGACTTAGCACTCGTATGGCCCTGCTACATGTTGTGCTATAACATACTCGGCTCTCAGGAAGTGCTTATTATCCAGGCTTTAAAAACTCTGGCTTGTTTTGTTCATGACTCTGTATGAGACAGTCAAGATGGTGGCACGCTTTGCAACCAGTGAGTCTGAATTCTAGCCACAGAGGGGAGGGCACTGACAAACATGAGCCCCTAAAATAATGAACGTTATGAATCGTCATGGTCATTTCATAGAAGGCCGTGCAAGTACCAGATATCTCGTAGCATTTCGGAATGTCAGAATTAATTCTCAGTGGTGTTACTAGCTGACAGACTGGGATTCCCCACACAGCTTACAGGGTTCTGGTAGGGTAGCGCTGGGATGAACCCGAGGCTCCTGCGATCTGCCAGGTGCTTGCAGTGAAGTCGCAGAGAGATGCACTAACTCTCCTGTCAGGACACGAATAGCTGTGCAGGTCTCCTACTCTTTTGAGCAGGTGTGGAAATTCACGGTTCTAAATTTGACTGGGTAAGAAATTGGGAACTCCAATCCAGGACGATACCCGTATGAAACGGCAGAATCTCAGCACAGCTGGGTTGAGCACAGTTTACTGCAGGTAGCAAAGTGAGTGACTAAAACGGAAGTGACGGGCAAATTAACTATAAATAAATGAAATAAATGGCAATGTTGCAGTGAAGGTTTTTTGTAGCAAGAAATGATTTGTAAGTTACGAAATAAGTGGCTACAGCGCTTTGCAGTAATATGAGCCATGTGCTGAAAAGAGAGTGTTTACGTGTTGTCCTGACTTTAATTAAACTTGGATGCAACATTACAGGTTCACAGGATTTTCGAGACCCACAGGACCGACACAGCATCGAGTTTCTGCTTCTGGCCTGTCCGGGTGTCACAGATCTGCTGCTGCTAAGTGGACAAGTGAGAATCCATCTTTCATCCATGTAGATTCAGTGTGTATCAGTCTTGAGTGAACCTTTCAGACTGAGCTCATGTGATGATAATAATTGTTTGCCTTTATATAGGAAAGGACTCTTGATAAAAACACAGCAGAAGTGCAGCCCCACCACAGTAAAACACAACGTGCATTATCCATTATTATGCACCTGTACAGGGCACTGAAGGATAGATTTGAAAGCTGAAAGCTCGACTGCTTGCTGTGTGTGTGGTGCAGGCGAGGTGACGCAGGTGGTGGAGAAGATGACCCGCGGCCGGCTGGGGAGCGCAGCCTGGACGCCTAGCAGCGAGAGTGAGGACACTGAGGACAGGACGTCCCAATTCTCACATCTCTGCAGGCCACAGGGCAGTGGATATAAGGGCTCCGAAAGACCTGGGCACGAGAGCCAGGGGTCAGGAAGCAGCCAGGGCAGCACCAAGCTGGAGCGTCTCTTCAAGAGCTTTGCAGGTGGGATGTTAGGAGATAGCCAGTGTGATCCCCACTTTCTTAAAGAGGAGGCTTGAAGGTGACATCAAGCCAAGGGATAGAAAAGAAAAGGAAATTCTCCTTCAATCTTTTTTTAAATTTTGGAATTGTAACATGTATTCACAGAAAGGCATTTATTTCCTGACTTATACGTTTTTACATGTGCACTCTTTCATTCAGAAACTTTCTTACTGTTCTGAGCTCTGTAAGTTCTTAAACTTATGTAGCTTCTCTTCAGGAAAGAGTGAGCACAAGCTTGGCTCTGCAGCTCACAACTATAAAGTTCACTCTGAAAATATGCATCTACAGAGGCAGTTGATCTGATTCTACAGTCTCCTGCTTTGTCTTAGTGTCCTTCCTGTGTCCCTCCTTAGGTGTTCAGAGTGAGAGTGAGAGTGATGCTGAGTTTCACACCATCAACAGGACCTTTAGTCTTTCTGCCAGACTCTTGGAGGACACAGGCTCCAGACAGGTGAGGGGTGTCTGTCACTCTCTCAGGTCCTCAGACAGGTGAGGGGTGTCTTATCACTCCCTCAGGTCCTCAGACAGGAGAGGGGTGTCTATTACTCCCTCGGGTCCTCAGACAGGTGAGGGTTTTTTAAATTTTATGTATTATGTATTTTATCCTGTGATTTGCTGAGTACCTGGGGACTTTGCAGTGAGAGAAAAGATGCTCCTCCAGTCAACTTGGACTCGCCTGTCAGGCATTGTGGAGCTCAGAGCTCTGCAGATGGGCCTGTTGGAAGAGCAGGCCTTATTGGAACCACTCCATTTTAAATGCATTTCCCACTCTGATGCATAATTGGTAACTGTTGTCAAAAATGTCTGTAAGGGTGACTGACACTGGTCCTCTTGCTGAACGAGTGCTGTTGCTTTGACAGGAAGACGTCAGCTCTGAGTCTGAGGGTGCAGAGTCTCCTGCGGAGGAATCTGATGAGTTTGTCACGCCCATCCCTGGTTCAGAACTTCACAAGGCAGGGCGACAGGCTCAGGTGGGCAGCGCAGGCGGGGCTCAGGCTCGTTTCTGCTGGTGTTCCAGTAAGGGTATTGCTATCAGTAAAACGTTGTGTTGTGTTATAACAGGTGTCTTGGTCACTGGTTTTTTGGCCAGAGGGCTTTTTATGACCTTTGGGTGCCAATTTGATTACATAAATTGTGCTTTCACCTGTAGTAGAGTGAAGCAGTAAGTCAACTCCTCGCCTAATTAAGAATAATTATACTGCTTGTGTGTCCTGGGATATGTGGTGCACAGATACTGATACTATGAGCCTGACTGCTCTGCCGTTTCAGACGCAGACGCCCAGCTCCGAGGAGGACCTGGAGGTGACGGAGGAGGTGTGTCGGCCCTCGGGCCGAGCAGTCCCAGCCATGGCCGCCTGTGACCTAAGGACCGGAACCACGCCAACAGGTGGGGCGTTGAAGGTGTTAATGCGCTAGGGACACTAGAGTCACAAGGCATTCGGACCGTTCACCCAGAACTGCTCACAGAGCCTCAGGTGTGACAAGGGTCTCGCCTCTTTGTAGAAGTATGAAGAGTCATGCCATGAATGAGTGGTAGCAGAATACATTCATATTTCAGAAGGTTTATCAGGAATGATTATGGCCTTACAATACGTGTAGATCTTGCAGTGTGGTTTTTGTGGCTTCTCGTCTCTTTGTATAAATACTATGTGTCGATACTAGATTGATAAAATGACACCAAGAGGATTGGTAAATTATAGAAAGAAATGTTTTTTCAAAAGATGATCGTATAATAATATATTAGATGTATATTATCTTAATATATGACATTTTTCTAAATTTAGCATTTAGGTGCTTTGTTTTTTGGGGGATATTATACTGGAAGTACTGTCTGAAGGATTCCTGAGCCTCAGGGTCTCTGCCTGCTGAAACCACACAGGAATGGCAGCTTGTCTGCCCCCAGTGAGCCTGTGAGCTCATCCTCTCTCTCAGGAATCCTGCTTTATACTCTGATTGTCTAGAAAGCTCAGCTGTCGTATCAGACCCAGCAGAGAGAACTGACCCTGCTGCCCTCCAGAGAGTCTCCTACCCCACAGCAAGGTAAGAGAAAAGGCAGTGCAGGCCACTGGTTAGAACACACCCAGCAGGGGGCTCCCATCCTAATCCTGGCCAGGCCCAGGCAGTCTGAGCTGAGATCCATCCAGATCAGGAGCAGCTATATCCTTTGAGAAATGACAACCTACACTGGGATGTGTAAAACGATTACTTTCTTGAGCTCACAACAGCAGCACACATATTTTACTATTATATAGACTGAAGATCATATAGGCAACGTGTGATCAGTCTAACAGTTAACTTCATGTCTGCATGACTGTGAGCTTAGTGGTTATTCCTTTAGCCTTGAGTAAAAGCATTACACAGGTCTTTATAGTTGGTTCTACATTTCTGTGGTTTCTGCCCTGTTTAGCTTGTCTTGGAATTTCTAACTGACTTCGCTTTACTGAGGATGGTGGTGCTTCAAACAAGCTACCTTTGTTCATTTCAGGATGACAGCTCCTGATGAAGTCTAATATTTCTGTTAACCTTTTCAGCTGGCTGATGTAGTGTTCTGTGCGGCTTGTGCCGTCTTGCTCTCTATGTCATGCTGCAGCTGCCTGCCGGACATCGCTGATCTGTCCAGCATCGTGTGTGAGGAGGAGTGGCCCAGCAGGGAGGGACAGCAGCCCAGCCCAGTGAAGAGAAACGCCCCCACCTGTAACAGCACCCCCCTTCACCCAGGTACAGCTACTGCAGGGATCCGCAGTCTCACGGGGATGCATCTTTCTTTTACCACATGGAATCTGATCAAAGTTAGGTTTAATCTGAACCTTAAAACATGCAATAACCTGGGATTGCTAAGCATCTCAGTGCCTGAATTTGCTGACATCTAGCCTTTTAGAGTGTGATGTGAACAGACAGGCCAGGCTTCAGGAGCTCCAGCTCATGGGGGTTTACTGGCTTTGCTGAGTGTGCTTGCTGACGTTGCAGGTGCAGTGAGTAGACATCACCCCAGACTCGGTGGGGAACCTGCAGAGCTGCTGCCGCCTCTCCACAGTCTGCTGGACACCTTTCCCTGGGGCAGCTCGCCCACCCAGCTCCACACCGCTGACACCTTCACTACAGCCAGCGCCGGCATGGCCAGCCCAGTAAGACTGCACAGCAGGAGTGAGCACCCATAGACAGGAACATCTCAGGCAGCTGTGCTTCTGCTCCTGAGACCGAAGAAAACTGCTTTATGTGGCTACACTGGGACTGGGATTGATTTGTGTCCCTTGCAGATTGCAAAGCTTCCTGAAGTTGAAGATGAACTGCTGCATATGTGTCTTGACTAGGTTCAGTAGGTAAATCTAACACAAAAATGTAGATTCTAAGGCTCCCAAGTGGCACATCCAGTAAAGACACGTGCTTGGAGTGCACCTTGAGCTCTGTGGCCCTGAGGTCTGTGGTCATGAGGAAGTCTGTGAGTCCTGACTCTTACACTGCTCTCCCCTTCCCTGCAGAGTGACCTCTCTGTGTCCAGTGCACTGCACCCCCCCAGACTGGACCACAGTCCTGTCCATAGAGAGACGGACACACCTGCTGGCCGCTGCTGGGACACCCCAAGTGCAGGAACGTCCGCGGGTCGGGATGGTGGCAGTTGTGCCAGAGAAGGGGGCCCCGGGGACCCCGGCACAGCGGCGGCAGAGTGCCGGGATGCCACAGGCGAGGCTCTCTCTCCGGCGGTGGACGGGCAGGTCACCCGTAGCCATGACGAGCCGGGCAGTGGCATGGGTGCAGGGGCCCCTGGGACACAGAGTCCACACTCCAACAGCCCTGCCGCAGCAGCAGAGGCGCCTGCTGGGCCTCTGTGGGCTCCTGGCCCAGACGACCATCCCACTCCGAAAGGTGACGGGCTGGGCAGCACCTCCTAGATTAGATTGTTCTTCCCTGTACGGGGAGCGGAGGAGACTGGTCCAGGAGGGAAACTGAAGAAGTATGTCTCTTCTTTCACAGGGCCCACAGGGATAGAGGCTGTGTCCCCCCTAAGTGAGAAAGACCTGCCAGGACCCAGTGTCCTCTCTGGCACAGGCCTGCTAGCGTACAGCAGAGCACTGGACGGCTTGCCGGCAGCTGACGCTCGAGACCTGGGTAAGATCCGGCGTACCTCTTCACAGTGAGTGCAGCCCAGACCGCCTCATGGCTTCCTGGAACCACCTGGAATCTCAGTTTGCTGTCAATATAAGCCTCACTTTTGCAGTCCCCAGTTGTGAATGAACTGAGCTCACAGGTGCAGGTACACTGGTAACACTGCTGGCTTGTAAAGTCCCCCTCATGGGCTCAGCTTTTATTAATGTGAGAGAGGTTGCAAAGAGAGTAAAAAGAATTCTGTTTATACTAGAGTTTAATATATTATTGTAATACATAATTATTATTATTGGTACCCTTGATAAAAATGAGTAAAAAGACCAATAAAAAAAGGTAAAGAGCTATGTTTTATGCTCCAAATATGTAAACACTATATTCTTGTATTCTAAAAGGTATTTGTTAACAAGTAATAATTTGATATGGTTATTAATGAGTACTAATGAGGTTATTGACTAACTGCTGTGACTGAGTGTGTGTCCACGCTGAAAGGACCTACACAAACAAATAGCTATATCTGAGTGCTTAAACACACTTCAGGTTGTGTTGTGTATACAATGGCTAGAAGATTTGTAAAAAGAAGCCCAGAAAATGTCCTTGTAAAGAGTGGGAGTCTGTGCCCACGGGAGATCTGCAGTGTCCTGTGTCCCTCACGCCTGTTTCCCTGTGTGCAGAAGGAGGACAACCCCCTTCCGCTGAAGCTGGCAGCGCTGGGCATGGGGTGAGGATCGAGGCGCCCTCAGACGAGACGCTGAGAGAGGGGCGCAGTCTGCTGGAGGAGACGGACAGGTACTGCTGAGGGTCACTTAGAGATATTACACATGTAAATACTAAAGGAAGCGTTGATCCAGAGTAACGTACGTGGTTGACATCTACACAGTTGTGTGTTTGACTGAAGCGGTCTGGGATGAAGTTGCTTGTTCAAGGGTGCAGCTGCAGGACTGTATTGTGCCACTAACCCTAACTGCCGCTCCACACTGCAGCCTCATGTGGCTCCTGTAGAGAGACGGGCAGACTGGGCAGCTGGTACGGCCATACAGGTACACACCAACAAGGCCACAACTCATTGGATCACTGATGCAGTTCATACAGATTGACAAATGCACTGATATAGTCTGTGAGGACTAATCAAAACAGTGGTAGCTCTTATAGACAGGTGTCTAGGTTCATTCTTACATGAGGTAGGTTCTAGGTTCAATGTACCATCCTTCTTATTAATAAAGGTAAGTATACATTACTATTAACGTCTGTTAAGATTTTATTATTTATTGTATCCATGTAGTGGAGATATACAGGTATAATATAATAGATACTTCCGTTTAATATATTTTGATGAGACGTGTTGCTTTTGAGTTCATTACCCGACTGACTTCACAGAGCTCACTCCACTCTGGATGAGGTGCTGCAGGGCATGATGGGAGAGAAAGGCAGCACCCAGAAGTCCCTGAGAAGTCCAAGGCCTGAGCAACTGCCAAGGATTCAGTGAGTACAGCCCGTCCTGACATCACTCCCTCTTCGCAGTGCCTCCCCAGCCCGTCCTGACATCACTCCCTCTCCCCGTGTCTCCCCAGCCCGTCCTGACAGTTTACCCTCTCTCCCCGTGTCTTCCCACTGCTGAACAGAGTTCAGGTTGACAGTTCAAACCCTTGTCACATCACTAACCAGTCCAGAGACAGAGTCCGTTGTGGAGCTGATGCAGCAGGATACAGCTGAACAGTGTCCGTTGCGGCCGTGTGGCTCAGTGAGTGTGTTACCCCCCCAGGGAGAGCCTGTACAGCGAGGACACTTGCTGCCCCGCTGCAGCCGGCGGGGAGAGAGCAGGAAAGCCAGAGGAGCCCGACAGCAGGACAGCGCTCGGCCCCGCAGGTACCGCCCCGGCACGTGCCGGCCCACTAACAGCCCGAGAGCAGTGTCTTCTGGGACTCCAGCCAGCTCTGCCAATGGCCTTTGGTTTGAGAGCTGCTCCACTGTGCTCAGCAAGTCAAGTCAGAGGTTTCACTTGTCGCAGCTTACTGACAGTTTGCCTCTTCCTGTGCCTGCAGACAGCGTGGATGAGCAGGGGGAGAAGTTCGAACCCGGCCTCCGAGTGCACTGGGCCCAGCCCCACAGGTACTGCAGCGCATTTCATGACAAGTAACGCATTTAATCAAGCCCTGAATTAATACATAAACACTAGAAAAAAAGAACTGTTTATCTACATTAACATTAGCTCTTGCTTAATTATAGCAGCAGGGAAATGAAGTATTTAACTCCACAACCTCACAGCTCCTGGGCACTGCGTCCGATTCCACCCTTAGGCTTCTGTGTGGAGTTCGCAAGTTACATACATCAACGGTTACTGAAAGTCACTGATTAGTGAGAAATCCTCACTAATAACAAGCGAGTTTTAGAGCAACACTTAAAAGCATCCAGGGAGTACAAGTCCCTGACTCTTTGGGAAGGGCAGTTCACCGCCTGGGAGCATAGCGACAGTGGACTGAAGATTGTCAAGTGTCATAGTCTGACACAAGGTCCCCAACACCAGCCTCACATGAAAGGCACAATACAATTTAGAAGCCCGTATTAGATTTCAACAGGAAGTTAATGCAGTGACTCCAGAACAACGGGAAGATAAACACCAGCTCGACACCCTGGCTCCTGAGTTTGAACATCGAGCAGAATCTGAAAAAACAGCATTAACTTGCACTGTTTTTTACTAAAGGTGTAATTCCAGTGCATTTTTATTTTGGACTTGGTTAAAATGTGTTTACGACAACTTTCAACAATGTTAGGAAGCTGTTTGAGCGTTTCTGGTAATCCAAGAACACAGCCGAGACTGCTCACCCATATGGACCTGACCAGCAGAAATGAGAAATAGGGGTGAAATCTTAGTCCATTTCACGTCTTAAAAGTGATAAAGCTGAGCATCTAGAAACCAAAAGTTTAAACCTGTCTGCTGGTACGGTTGTGCTGTTTTTCCTAGGTTGATTATCTTGGAACAGACTCCCACCAAAAGCCAGAGTGACCCGGGGCCAGCGATGACCACACAGCCAGCAGCACGCAGAGATCGAGACTGAAGCTGCAGGGGGAGACGCACACACAGAGAGCCGGACCCGGGCTTCTTCCTCGCTCTCCAGCCTGCCCTTGGCAGCTGGGGCTGCTGTTTTATTTGAATTTGGGCCATGGCTATTTAAAAAAATTAAATTGTAATATTTTAACACCAAAGTCAGGACACATTAATGAGTAAGGCTATACTTTTTCATTAAGGTGCCGTAAAATGCTCTTGGTAAGCTTCAGTTTTCAGTGGAGAAGGTTCTTGGTTTTTATACGATAGGAGCCTTGGAACTGTTTAAGCTTCCTGTAGTAGATTTGTTCTGATGGGAGATACAGTTTTTCTCTGTTCACCTTTTTGTTGTTTCAAGCTGTTCAGAGCTGGAGCTGACGAGGCCGAGCAGTGGGCAGCCAAGGTCCCTGCTTGAAACTGTCAGCTCTAGACCTGCCTGTTAGTACTGTACAAGCCAAAGAGGTCTGAAGAGACTTTTAATCTTAATATTATACATCAACTGTTTTTTAAATATTTTAAAAGATAAAAAAAAACAAATAGGCATGAATTTGATATTATACTCCATAGCTATTGCAACAAATGTGTTGTTAACCTGAGTTCTTGTTTGATTTGCCATTAAAACACAAAAAATAGATGCTTGCACCAGATTCTGAAAAAATATTCTTTTAGGACTTATTTCCGTCTTAAACCACTTTCAGAAAAAAATATTTATATCTTTATTAAAACATCCATACATTTACAATCTCATACACATCAAACATTCATACATTTAAAACATCTGTACAAAAATAACATTTCTGCAAATTTCCAGTCATCTAAGGTGAAAACTGCATCCTGTGTGCAGAAAGACTACAGGACTCTTACAACTGGCAGAGGAGCTTTCAGAAGCAGTGAGCTGGAAAAGCATTTTCTGCAGTGTGTTGAGCTCCTGTACCAATCCCACTCCTTCTGTCTAGCAGGGTCTGGTCCCAGTCATGGGTCCAGGGCGTCTCCTTGCACTGTTCTGTTCAGGTCCTGCTGTGATGGAACCAGTGTAATGTGCCCATACTGCCCAGCATGGCCTGAAGATCAAGACTGCTCATGACCAGGTCTGAACATGCCAACATGCTTCAAAAGCAGCTTTTGACAGTAAATCACAAT